AATTGGGCTTTTTTCTTTCTGATCTTCATCAACATATCACCCGTCTTCACTCAGAACAATGCGGTGAACAAGCTCATTTCGACACGTTTACTGTCTACCGTGGTCAAGGTTTGTCTCAGACAGACTTCAACCAATTGTTAAAGACGAAAGGTGGTTTATTATCGTTTAATAACTTTTTATCGACTAGTCTTGACCGAAGAGTCTCTCTTGCTTTCACTGAAAGTAATGGAGATAATCCATATTTAATAGGTATTCTCTTTCAAATAACTGTTAATTCATCGACTTCATTAAGTCCATTTGCCAATGTTCACGATATTGGTTATTACCAGGACGAAGAGGAGATTCTCTTTTCAATGCATTCTATATTTCGTGTTGGGGAAATCGAACAGATCGTTGACAATAATCGACTTTGGCAAGTGAAATTGACATTGACTTGTGATCATGATCCACAACTGCACATATTAACTGAACAGATACGAGCAGAGACATCTCCACATGAGATAGGATGGAAGCGATTGGGTCACTTGTTGATTAAGCTTGGACAGTTTGACAAAGCACAACAAGTCTATGATGTTCTGCTTATTCAGACATCAGATCATCAAGAGAAAGCCAACATTTATCACCATCTCGGAATGGTCAAGAAAGGTCAAGGAGAATATACGGAAGCAATTCTATATGCTGAAAAATCACTGGAAATCAAACAAAAATCTCTTCCACCCAATCATCCTGACTTGGCTGTTTCTTACTACATCATCGGTGTAGCGTACCATAAAATGAGCGAGTACTCAAAAGCACTTTCATATTATGAAAAAGCACTTGAAATCCAGCGAAAGACTCTTCCTCTAAATCATGCCGATTTGTCTGCTTCCTACAACAACATCGGTCGGGTATATAGCGTGATGAATGAGCATTCAAAAGCACTATCATATCTTGAAAGAGCATTGGAAATTAGGCAAAAAGCTCTTGCCGAAAATCATCCTGATTTGGCTACTTCTTACAACAACATCGGTCGAGTATATCACGCGATGAGTGAGCACTCAAAAGCACTATCATATCTTGAAAGAGCATTGAAAATTAGACAAAAAGCTCTCCCTGAAAATCATCCTGAGTTAGCTGCTTCTTACACCAACATCGGTAATGTGTATTATCGCATGGGCGAGTTCTTGAAAGCATTCTCGTATCTTGAAAGAGCATTGCAAATTAGGCAAAAAGCTCTTCCTGAAAATCATCCTGATTTGGCTACTTCTTACACCAACATCGGTAATGTGTATTATCGCATGGGTGAGTATTTTAAAACATTCTCGTACTATGCACGGGCTGTTGAGATCGGACAACGTTCACTACCTGGATGCCATCCTCGTCTTCAAAAATGGAAAAGAAACCTTGAAAATGTCAAAAAGAACTTGTAGATGATTTTTTTTAAAAATAAATAAATAACTTAAATAGAAAGACTACACACGTGCGTACAGAAAGACTCTGTTCTTGAGGGGTGAGTATGTGAGTATATGATACATAATACCAACATTACACCCACAACCATCCTCAGTCAAATGAAATTTTCTATGGAAGATGACAAACACAAGTTTAAAAATATTCTCCGTAATCAACATCTAGAGTTTTGCATCGTGCAATGAGACGACAACTAACTGTTTCTCAAAAAATACAAAGATCTTCTCCTCTTCCATCATCATTCGTCAGCATAGAAAGATAATTACATTTCTTATATGTCTAATATTGATCATACTGAGATATTGAGGGTGTGAGTGTGGGCATATGGAAGAAGAAGACACCTACACCCTCAAGAAACTTAAAAAATATTCGTTCTCTCTTTCTGTTTTGCTATAACAGTCAGTTCTTTTCTTCAGCTATGAAACTTGGAACAAAGACGCACACTTTCATAGTTCTTGAGGGTGTGGGTATGGGTGTGAATAGAAAGAGTAGACTTCTATTCTTATGTTAGACTAAATAGTTTGATTAGAAAAAAATAGAAAATCGTAATTATTTCGTTACAAATGCAAGAAATGTTGACCAAACTAGCGAACACATATTGACATACAAAAACTAAAAATTGAAGGAAATATCTATTTGAATATTATTACTTACCGATGATGAATAGGAATAAAATAAAAATTAGTCAATTGAATAACAGGCCATGCACAATAATCAGCTTTCATAACAGTTGGAAAATTCTATAATTAAACTTTTATAAGAAAATAATTCAAAAAATAAAGATTTAATTCACTTCATAGAAACGCTGGAAGATATAGAAGAATAAATATATACGCAAGATTTTTTTTACATATATGTTCGTATATAACATCTTAATTTTTCAAACAACACCCCACATGAAAACGTTGTCGTTGATGAAAACAGAGACTTTGTTTATCGCTATACGTTGATAAGAAATGAAGATTGTGTTCTATTCATAATTGTTTGAGCTTTTTATTAATACAAAGAATAAGATAAAACCCATCTTTATTTTTATTTATAGTAACCGATAACGATAAATTGATATGTCTATTCAACTTATTGTGTTTGATATGCAATATACTGATCATAAATTTGCATCTCAAATCAGATTATCGTTGAAAATCTAGACTGATGATTATTTCTGAATTTTTTTGGAAATAAAATAACCGTACTCAAATTTGTCCAATTATATTGTTTATAAACGCGTTAAACATTCCGACGTGGTTATAAGGGATGTAATATTTTCTTTTTTCTCAACAAAATATTCGCACGTGTTAATTTGTTCGTTCTTTCTCCTATTTCGTTTGCTTACCTGCGACCGCAGAACTATCTTTTTTATTCTTGCTTGTAAAAACGTATACGCAAATAATAATATTAGGTCGTCTAAATTTCATTCATTATTTACAATCGTCCTTCTAGATTATGATCAACTATGCTATAATAAACGTAATTGCCCAAATTTCTCCAGTACGATTGTACTTTTGTTGTATATTTTTTTTCATAAGTAGCAAGATATCTTATGTTGCAAAATAAAACTGGAAAAAGAAATTTTTAAAAAGAGAATGAACAGAAATTAAAGATGCGGAAAAGTACACTATAAATCATATCTCTTGACTGTATTTCTAAGAATATACTTCATCAATAGAATTCAAACAAAAAAGTTTTTTTTAATTTGATACATTCCAATTATTACTCAAGTAATAATTTATTCGTGTGGTTTTATATTTGTTTTTTTTTCCATAATATATTCCATATAAACAAGAATTTCTACTGCAATAGCACTATTTTGTTATTTTAATTTTTTACAGTATATTTAAATTATTATTTTGTGGTAGATCGAAACAAGAAATTGAAATGAACCAACAGTACAACATCAATTCATATAAGAGAGAAAGATCAATCATGAATATAAAATGCTCTTTTACACATCTTTATTTTTATGATATTTAGAATAAAAAAAATTGTATGTCACATTATTTGTACAAATAAAAAGTGTATATCTATGTTTTATTTCGTTCTATTGTATTAATATTGGAATTCTTCGCAATACATAACGTGTATCATTGATAGAGCAAAAATAATGACTAGTGAGTGAATGTCTAATATTTTTCTCATCTTTAACGTATAAATAAATAAATACAGATGAATAAAATAACATGAAAAAAACAAGAAAATACGACTTTAACCAGAGAAGAATGAAGAATGTTTGTATACAATTTTTATTTTATTTTTTATATCCATGTCCTCTAATTACTCATTGAATTTTTGAGGTAATTCGATGACTTTTATGCTCAAAAGAGAAAGTATATTTCAATTTTTATCGAGGATATTGAGTGTATTTGATTAGATGCACATGTTTCATCAATGTGAGACAATCGTCTAATACATGCACGTTTTCTTTTCTTTCTCGAGGAGATCAAAAGGTAAGCTTCATTGCGGCTATGATAAAAATAATCATTATCTACACAGAGTTCTTTATGTATTTTTGCTTATTCTGTTACTACGACGAAAATAGATCGATCAATCCGTTACTCATCGCTGCAATAGAGATAAGATAGAAATATTTACTCGTTAAATTTTTTTCTTCAGACAGTTACGTTCGTTGCGAATCGTTATTTGTACAATCGAAAAATAACATTATAAATGTGGTTTTCGTACGTAATTACCTCTTTATTTCTTCCTTAGTGTGAAGAAAAAATTATCCATGGATGAATGATCACTGCAGATAGAAAAACACATATAAGTGTGTATTACCCATACTTTTATTTTCAACTAATATATTTATTCACTCGTATTTTACATCGATCGTCGAATATCATATCCCAATCTCTTATTCTATAGCAAAAACTAGAATTCCGAGATGTATTAATTTTTTTATTCTTCTAAACGAGATAGGGAATCAAGTAAATTATATTCGATCTTTTGAAGATTTCTTTGTACAATGCGCCTATGTAATTTTAAATTTATGTTGTATTTTCTACACACTTTTCAAAAAATTTTCAACAGTGAGGTATCCATCAAGGGCCAAAAAAACAATCAACTTACCTAGGATTTTTAAGAGCCTGAAAATCGATTAATTTCAACATATTCTAAAAGATTAAATGAATGAAAGATCAGACGGCTTAATACTCAGTTCACATCCAACCATATGAAATTTTTGTTTTTTTTCTACTAAATTTTAGGTATTTGAAAAGTTCTAATACTGTGCCAATGGGTAAGAATTGTGTATTCTATCTTGTCTGTTATTTATTGGTTTATTTTAGAGGGTAATAACGAATACGAACCAGTGTTTAAAGATGGTGGCCAAACAACTAACATTGGTTATCAAAGAAGAAAGTGAGTAACACTTAAACAATACATTGAAAAATAGTGAAGCCATATTAAAGACGAAATCTATAAATTATTATCAAATTTTGAATACTTTATTTGTTTTAAGTAGAAACACACGGACGTCTAAATACCTTCGATGGGGTGTCGGTATTTTAGTAGTTGTGTTGTTGTCGAGTATGGTAGCAATTGGGATTGTAAAAATGATGCCCGGTCGTGACAAATCTTATGATACGATTAGAGTAAAACAAGGTTAATTTGAACTCTTATTTGATCATTAATATTATATAAAAAATAAATATATTTATATAGATATTGAAGAAGTGACTTTCAAAGCCATATTTAGTACGAGTTATATTGTTGACAACGAAAATCAACCATCAATCATAGAGGACCTTGATGTGATAACAAATAAAGTTTGTTATATTAACAATATTTTATTTGAATTATTTTCTTGTACTTTTCATAGTTGAACAAAAAGTTAAATCCAAACGCCATTCGTTTTGTCAATGGATTTTTTCGAAATAATGTAGAATCCAAAAAGTAATAACATTCAATAAATTTTCATATTAATATCTAATCTATATATATTCTATTAAGAATTCGATGTGATAATCCATTAAATGGAAATATTCTTCAATTAGATATTGTTCCTCTGTATGCAGATGAATGTATTGCACAAGATGATGAGACTTGCGAAAATCAATTGAAAGAACAATTAAAAATTATATTCGATCAAATGATGATTATTCCTATGAAGATTCAACTGGAAAATAATCAATTTGAAAATATTGATATGAAAATATGCAATATTTTGGATATAAATGGTAAAAAAGAGAAAACATTGAAAACAACACCGAGAAAGATGAAGAAAACAAAAGCATCAGTATCGATTGCACCCAAAGGAATGAGACTATGTAAGTTGAATTATTAAATAATTTAATAATTAATTTGGTATTTCTTTTTCAGTGGCTTCTAATCGACATATTCCATATACTCCAATACAGAAAGCCAGATGTGACTTACGTCTCAATAAAATTGCACTCGTTCAGGTAGATGGCGATTATGGAACTAATATACACGATGACATAAGAACGTATACTAGTGGTCAATCTCATCAATCGTCTACTATTACACTTTATGAAGAAACAACCCATAATCTACATGTTCAACTTAAATGTGGTGAAGACTCTACTGACGATCCATGCAGTGATTCCTTAAGTGTACATATGTGGGTTGATTATAATGACAATCAAGTTGACGATGGTGAAAGCCACACTCTTCATCGCTCGTGGCCAGATAATGGTGCATCTACTGGTACATATGATTTACAGATCTATGTTCCAACTATTGATGATAGAAGTATAAAAGCTGGTCCGCACACTATGCGTATTACTGTGATGCCAAGCGAGCAATACCAACGGGATTGTGGCACATTGGATTATCGGGAGACGAGAGATTATACTTTCAATATAATCCAGAAAGTGAACTATGAAGGTAAATATTTATCTCTTTATTATTAAAGTTATCTAAAACTTGTTACTCCTTTTCCCCTTAGTAATAACAACAACGCCATATGTCAATGTGAGTGCAGTCTGTTCGGTACCATTAGGTAGGATTATTCTCGTTATAATGGCTGGTGAAGTTGGCAGCGAGATACGAGATGATAAAGTATATGATGCATCAACAAATACTAATCAAAACCAACACCATATGACCGTGACACTTTATGAAAATACTATATATTTACTCCGTATTCAGTTGGATTGTTCAACTCAAATGAGAACTGAATTAACAGATACAGGCTGTAATCTAGCTCAAGATGTCGATGTTTGGGTAGATTGGAACGATGATGGCAATTTTGATGCAAGTGAAATTGAAGCACCATATTTGTTACCAGTTACAAGTTACTTACCTCAAGGTGTGTACGATATTCAATTGAATATCCCATTGATTGATGAACGATATATAGCAAATAGACCACATCGAATGCGTATTGTAGTTGCACCAAGTGAAAATTATCGAAGAACGTGTAATAGTTATCAAGAATATTCTGAACTGAGAGAATACAATGTGAATATTATTTCGCGAAAATCGTATTTACGTAAGTAGTTTTCTTATGCAAACAGTTCCTTGTAAATAATGTAATTCTTGATTTATACATGTATTTTAGCTGCACCTGATATGATAAATCCTTATTTGGCACCAGAGAATATTACGTGCACACCACAAGTTGGTAAAATCATTTTTGCTAGAATGCCTGGAGAACATCGAACTCAAATACGCGATGACTTTTTAGCAAGAGCATTATTGGACAACAATAAACATGGTCAACATCTTTCCGTTGTTCTACGTGAAGGTAACACCTATTTGTTTAGATTACAATTCGAATGCGAAGATAAACTCAACAGAGATTCCTCGGATAAGAACTGTAACTTACCTCATGATATCAATGTATGGATTGACCTTAACGATGATGGAGATTTCACTGACTTAGAACGTGCAACTCCTTACCGCTGGCCTCTAACAAGCTATTTACCACAGGGAGTCTATGATCTTCAAATACGTGTACCTCTTATCGATGGTAGACAAATAAAAAGTGGACCTCATCGTATGCAACTTGTTATTGCTTTAAATAAACATTATCGAAGAAAATGTGCTTATCCAAATTATTATGAGCTCCGCAATTATACAGTTATAGTCGTATCGAACACAATTAAATCAGGTAATTGTTTATTTATCTATCAATGTACTTTTATTAATATTTCTTTGTAGTCGATATTGAAGGCCCTTATTTGAAATTAAGTGATGCTGTTTGTACTCAAATCAATGCTCGAATAGTTCTTATTATTATGGCTGGTGAACAAGGTACTGAGATCAGAGATGATACACTTAATAATACTATCATTAGTGAATATCAAAATCGCCACCATATGGCGGTAAGCGTCTATGAAAATACGACTTATCGTATTCGAATTCAATTAGACTGCGATCCAGCTTCAAGCAGAGGTTCACTTAACAGTTATTGTAACCTTGCTCAAGATGTTGATGTTTTGATTGATTTAAATGATGATGGGCGCTATGATCAATCCGAGAGCTTTATTCCACATCGATGGCCACTTCGTAGCTCAATTCCTTTGGGTTTGTACGACCATGAATTACCTATTCCGGCTTCGACTGATCTACGTAGAAGAACTGGTACGCATCACATGCGTATCGTTGTAAAACCGAGTGAAGAGTACAACGCGAAATGCGGTCATACCGGCTCTGTAGAAATTCGTGATTATACTCTACAAATCATACCAAGACAAGCTTATTAAAGTATTACATAAACAATTAATTGACGATATATTACTTAACAACTTTCAAATTCTGCTTTTTCGATTTTTTTGTAGTTTATATTTTCAATAAAAACTTTCAATATTTTAACCGATCATTTTATCAAAATAATCATTTAATACAAAGTCAGATTGTAAGATCTGATCAACTCTGGGTGTTATTATTATGTTGTGGGCGTGGGTGTATACTCTCTTTATTCGCTCCCACGTCCGTAACGCCCATGCACACCCTCACCCAAACATTTTCATTTAATAGTAAAGGAATATTTAATTGATCAATAATGGTAAAAACTTAGAATGTGTTATCGAAAAACAAGTGGTATGTGATGTTTTTCAGCGTTATATCGAACGCACTTCTTTTCACTTTCTTCTTTATTAA